AACTTTCAACACAAGTACAAGAACGTATTTCACATATCAATGTACATAAATTTCAGATTCTGCAATACAAGTATGAAAAATAATTTTACAAATTAATATACATAAACCTCAGAATTTTAAATATAAATACAAAACTTGCTTTACATATACGTAGATTATGGATATAAAGCTTAAACATTTTCAGCAGAGATGTATTCATCTACAGAATAGAGGGAGTGAGTAAAGAGGTCATCTTTCAATGCAGGCTTGAATACCTTTATATCATAATTTAGACTTTTAATTGTTGGTGGAAGATTATTAAATAACTTGAAACCTGTATAGTACACTCCTTTCTGATATTTAGTAAAGTTAGCATTTGACACATAGAGTTCATGTTTACGTCTTGTATTTAAATTATATACATCTGTATTTCTTTTAAATTCATCCATGTTTTCCACCACAAATGATAGCAGGCAGAGTATAAATTCACTTGCAAGTGGAAGTATATTAAATTTACGAAATAATTTTCTACAAGATACTCTGCTTTTGACACCGGCCATTATTCTAATTATTTTTTTTTTTGCATGTAAAAAACTTTATTACTGTCTGTTGAATTTCCCCAAAAGATTAATCCATATGACACTGCAGAGTGAAAGTAAGCAAAGTAAACTAGCTTTAAAGTATCTATTGTCATGAGTGGTACAACTGTTCTCATGGCAAAGCATGCAGAGCTTAATTTGGGAATAATATACTATGTGTTTCTTCCAATTTAAGGTATTGTCGACTTGTAAGCCAAGGAATTTGTGTTTCAACTTCTGCAATTAATTTTTCTTCAAAACCTGTATTTAACCTAGGATATGTCTTGTGCTTACTAACAAATTTTATGAAGTTTGTTTTTTCAAAATTTAGTGCCAGTTTGTTAGCTCTAAACCATGTGTTTATGTTGGTGAAGACATCATTCATGTTATTTTCAAGATAGATCAATTCTTAGTGTGCAATAATGATACTTGTATCATCAGCAAAAAGAATAGGTTTCTATATAGAGTTTATAGTTGCCGGCAGGCCATTTATATATATGAGGAAAAGTAAGGGTCCAAGAACTGAACCTTGTGGCACTCCGTGCTGTGATGTGAACCTGATGGTTTTATTTCTGTTTGCTGTTTCAAGTCATGGTGGTATGATTTAATCTACTGTTGAGCTATACTTTTAATTCCATAAAAACTTTGTTTCGTCAGTAATAATTTATGATTTACACATTCAGATGCTTTAGTAGGATATCAAGATATTCCAAAATGCAATTTGTTATTAACATCACATCAAATTTCTTTTATATAATTGAATAGGGCTTTATCTGTTGAGAGATTTCTTCCAACTCCAAACTGTTCATCTGCAAAGATATGTATGTGAGGAATAAACAAATTATGTCTTGTTAATAATACACCATACGGATTATTAAGGACATAGTGGTTCACTTACAATTAAGGTACATGTATACAATATCTGTATAAAATTTCATAGGTATAACTGTCAAATTAACTACCAGACACTCTGAGCAGATACTTATTTCATACGCAAGTTGTAAATGCTGGGAATATACATATGTAAATATTACAGCTTGAGTAGAAATGTAGAAACAATATGAACTAAGCAAATCTAACCTAAGGATGGAAATTCTGGAAAGTAAACAAACCTAACAGTGACTGGATCATGCCTTAGTAAATGTAACTTCTGTTTGGTTTTGGAATGTCTTGTGATATGTTGGCATTATTGGATTGGGGTGATAAGAGCTAAAGCTTTATGGGTTGATGCCCAGGATCTTTGACACCAAGATCATTAAAGCCACTGGCACTTAACTAAAGCACATTGTAAAATCAGGCATTAATATAAACAAAATAGATACCTTGTAGCTTGGTCATCTAAAGACTGTTCATTGTCACAGAACACTGAAAGGTATATGTATAAAGCAATTAAAAATATAACAATTTTGACCAGTACATTTGTGAGTTTGTGGAATCCTGTGTTGTTGGCATGAGATGTGTTGGAAATAAGCGTTTGAGTTTTTTGAACAAGTTTATAATAATAGATGTGCCAACATTTTGGGCCAGAAATGTTAGATGAAGGAAAACGTAAAATGCAGTGAGGACCACTTCTGCTTGACCAAAAAGTGGTGGCTAACTGGGTCCTGTCCTATCATATATATGCAAGGGTAGCAGTTGGTGATGTTATACTTTCTCTAAGAATCTTTGCTTTTGTCTGTGTCTGTTAATGCAGTTTTCAATTAACCATTTAGTGCTTGGTTTGAATGGGGCATATTATTGAGCAGCGCTGGTGTTTTATGCAACTCTGTTTCAAATATGAGTCTGTTAGAAAATATTGCAGAAAATTTTGGTCCAAGTTTCCTGGAGAACCAGTTTGAAGTAGATGATATTTACATTACCTAGTCAATAAGTTGAATACAATAGGATCATTACTAGATAACATACCAGATAGGAGATGAACTATGCTAACAGAAGAGGCATTGGATGACATTGGTGTTGGATTAGAAACCTCATGAAGAAAATCTCATAAATGACTAGTATGGGTGACAGGTATTTCAAGAACATGTGCACAAATGGCCACACAGTTGTTAAAACTGTGACCATATAAGACAGCTGTAGTTTATGCTTTGAAGGAATGTGACCAGGTTACAAGAATACTTTTCTGTAATTGGTTTCTTTGGTCTATACATGATGGAGAAGTTGATCCACAGTTAGTGCTTTTTCAGATGAGGTTTCGTTTTCCTTACAGGCAGAGGTGAAATGTCCAAACAATTGGCATTGGAGTGTGGAAAATCAAAGACTTGAAGATGGCTGTCTTGTGGGTTGCAGCATCATGTAGTCTGGTAGAAGTTAATCATTGTTTCAGAGTTACTCAGATCGTACTAATCGAAGCCATATTCACAGTCTTCTTCATGCTCCAATATTTGGTATTTAGTATGTGATATGTGCAGGATACTTAGACCCATCTTCATTATGGTATGATTAATGCTGCCAGGTATGTGAACAACATCCTAAGCTCATTTTTTAACCCAGCTAACAGGAAAAGAAAGGCAGCAGGATTCTGGAGCAGCTCATATGGCACCTAAATTTGGAGGCACCGCAGGAGATGAATTAGTCATGGTCTGTGGCCCCAACATTACCCATATGTAACACCTTATGTCTTTTATTTGTGGATAGTTTGTAACATAAAGTGCATAAAACAAATCTCCACAATCTGGAAGGATTAAGAAACATGTGCTGTGAGATTTCAGCAATTTTTGGAGAAGAACTGCAGAAAGTTAACATCAACATGTTCCAAAGGTACGTTCTGTCTGGAGGAGCATCTGTAACACTGATGTGTTTTCATTGCATTTTCTAAAGGTTATTCTCACTGCGGTTGCTTACTATTGAGCTGTAAGGCTGCTAACCCCTGCACAGATGTGGCAGGTCAAGGGTCAGTGGGCTGTTTCTCACTGAAACAGGAAGTGGTCCTTTCTGTATGTATTAATATAACTTTACAATAAGCTGGCCAATTATACACATGGCGTTCATGTTTTATGTGCAGTTGCACTATAGCAATCCATTGTGACTTGAAACTTGGAATTCTGAAGATATAGCAGGATGTCAGATACCTTGTATTTGTAAAGAATCTTAGAGACACAAAAGAGATGTGGAACCTTAATGTCAACAACACTTCTACATACTTTTGTCTGGTAAGAAGTTAAACTGAGAATGATCATTAAAAAATTGGTAATGTGTGACAGTGATGTGGGTTGATAAAGAGAATTGTTGTTTATATATAAGTTCTCTGACACTTGCAAATATTTTTATGGTTATATTTTAATTTGGTGTGATTACAGAGGTTGTTAATTATACAAAAAAATGTATATTTTAACTCATGTTTCTTTATGGGTTAAAATGATGTAGGGGCTTCAGTGTAAAATACATAATATGTAACTTGAGAAATATCTGACATCTGCTTTGTGAGTTGTGCAGATTTTTAAGACTTAAATACAAACATAAGACTTTATTATTGATCGTTATATAGTTTGTTATTCATTCATACCTTTATGTGAATATAGTAACATTCTATTTCAGGCAATGTTGAGCACAAGAATGTTTAAGATTTGTCAGCATCCATTTTATATACCATCTGCAATAAAGTTGTGTAACTTATCATCAGGTTTCCATCAGATTCGCCGTAAGCCAGCCAATGAGATGAATAATGGGCAAGTAAGACTTTTGATGGAGGTGTTTGGTAAGTTAATTTTAATGCCTATATGTTGTGCATTGTGGTAGCAGGAGTCATAATTTACTGTAATTCACCGGTTGTCAGTGATGCTAATAATAAAATAAAAGCAGCTAAGGAAAATATACTTATTGGCAACATGTGGTGAGCTGATTGAATTGAGACTGACCAGTTGTCATGTAATCTCCAGTTTTCACTTTATTGTGTTGTGGTCACTTTCATGTATTGAATTTACTCCCATTTTTCTGTCATGTGACTGCTGTTTGTCACCTCAATTGAACTGCTAAAGTGGCCGACATGAATGATGGCTGAGTTTTGGATGCTTATGTGCATCTCCTATCATGTGCCGTCATGAACTAATTGGCTTCAGAGAATTGGTATTTAAAGTATTTAGTTACTTAAAGCATGAAGCATGTATATATCTGTGTCACCTGCATTTGTTTATGTTGGTTGGTGTAGAACTAGAGATTTAAAATGTGCTGTGCTGCGCCATGCTGTGAGTTTCCCACATTTCCCTCTTATCCTAGTCACATCTTGCTCACCCTGTCATCATCTTATCATTGGATTGTTTGTTCTAAATTCAGAGCATTAGAAATTTTTGTGAACTTAATATACTTCCATTCCAGTAGGATTTGATGTTTTCATGGCAGTGAATTTACTTCATCTACTTCCATTCCTTTGTGAGGTCTATAAGGTTGTTCATTATAATGCAAATCAACATGCATGTACTCTGTATCTTATTTTCCTGTTACTTGTATACATATTTTCTCATATCTGAAATTACTGTCTTGAAATTGATTTTTGTTGAATATAATAAATTCTTCTCTTGCTACCAGCTGTATAAGGTGGATTAATGAAGGAAACACCTAAGCCACCTTACACGGCTGGCAGCCCGAGAAGAATTTATTATGCTTAGTCACCGTGAAAGCTTCAGATCATACATGATTGTTGTTTAATTAACAGCCATTAATAACTTTTTAGTTGTACTGTATATTTACTTTTGTGAAAGAAGGACTTTGTGTAATGGAGGAATTTGTGCAATATTTGATGCTATTCATTGTTATTTTAGATTATCCATATCGGGAGACTTACAAGATTGTGTACAGGCACAAGGTACTGAGAACTCTGGATCAGAATCTCATACAGAGAGTAGCAGATATATTAAATGTAAGTCAAATTAGCAAGTTTGATATCAGTATCTTTTATACAGGGATAATTTTTGGCTGCTTAACCATGGCATGAACACTGCATTTCTTGCTGCCTTTACTAGTTTATCAGTTGTGGCAGTAGTGCCAGTTGCAGAAACATTGTATAGCATGAAGGTTAATTACCGTCATTAAAGCAGATGCAGAAAGTGTTCTCCACTGGCTCAAGTACAGTCCTGACACTTTCTTAGCAGATTCTGTCTCATACTCTGTATTTATTCTCTGATTATATAGGATACTTTAAGTGGAATTTGTCTCTAATGATATAGGACACTTTAAGCTGGATGGTTTCTGTGTGTGGATTGGTTCAGTTGATTTTGGTTTTAAATATTCTCAGTTACTGAAAATACCAGTTATAGAAAGTAAGTTCGAGTACTGGGTCTCTTGGATGCAAAGAGTGCGCAACTTTGGTTTGTGAGGTCATACTGTTAATAATTTTTGTAACTTTGTTGCAGACTTTTTGATTCTACATTTATTACTGAAAGCATTTAAGAAACTACTACTGCTTACTCTAGTATCATTTGCATTTTATACAGATTGATGAATGAAACAGCTGCAATCTCTTGTCTTCCCATAAATTTCTTGCCAACTCTTCCCTCTCATCTTGATGTCTTGTAGTATCTGGCTGAACTTTCTTGTTCTGGGTTGTTCTGTGGGCCTCTTTCCTTAAAATTCTAATTTTAATTTTGACCCCAGGGTCGATGGTGTGGGTGGGGAACATCAAGTAGAGTGTTGCAAGTACTGCCATGGAAGCAGGCAGGCCTCATTAGGAATCCTGAAAACAGTAACTGAAGGGGCTCCAGTGATGCAGTGATGGGCCCAGCGAGCCCGCACCGTATAGTAATAATGATTTTATACAATCATGAAAATCCCCAGAAAGAGACTTGAAAGGCAAATGTTCAAGCCAAGCTTAATTTCATCCAATTTTTCTTCAGTTAATACTTAACATTGACATTGTAGTTTTGTGTCTGTTGACATGCCAGTCATTCTTTATTTACTGAGAAGATTCTGAATAA